TTTTCATGTCAGACCTTGTTCTTTTCTTCCTGGCTTTGACAAGAAGGTATCATTTGTCCTAGGGAGTCACTCCCCAGGCTAAGAGCAGGCTCAGACATGGAGCACAATATGGCGAAGCAACACCATGAAAGTATATCCCAGGGGGGCCAGTCCTGAACATAGCAAACCCACCATCCACCCAAGGACATCCAACAACCCACCCGGCCTGACAAGAAGTCATCTGCCATGCAGTGACTCCATCACTTGCAGAAGATAAGGCCCAGCCAGTTTTGCTTTAGCAGGATCTGTCCACACCCCGAAATAAGGCACAACAGAATATGAAATCCAGATGACAGGAGGATCTGCTACCACATTGCACAATTGCACATCTGCTACTGCATTGCACAAATGCAAGCTGGACTTGTGTTTGGGTTGTGTCAAGCACACAGGCCAACTTGCAGAAGGAGGACAGGTTTAAGACCATGAATTCTGCTGATTTTACTAGACAAAGATCTGCCCCCTTCCACAATACTGATCCTTCCCCAAAATTATATACTATATATAATTTTATACGTATACACACAGATACCTTGAGAAACTGTTATTATAGCATGTCATTACATTTTTGCAAGATTTTACAAGTAGGCAACCAGTTTGTATGACATGGGTTTTATGGAGGTTTTATTTTGGGGGAAGTAATTTGGTAAGTGTAAATTGATAGTTTTGTGATGGAAAGCCAGACTGATGTAGGTGAATATTTTTCAAATAGGAGATAGCTGTGGGTGGGGAAGACAAGCCTTTTATCTTTAAAAGATTTTTTTCAAAAAAAACCCTTTAAGCATGATGTTTTAAGAAGCATCCAAGTGAGGAGAATTTTTAAGGCAATTTTAATAACCATTAATGAAAACATCCATTTTTCTATTGCAAGCCTGGGTGGTGTTAACCCAGCCATTACCTACAGCTGGATCCTACAAACCAGACTCATGCTGGCTTCATGGGTCACACCAGCTCCTCCACGCTACACATACTCCAACTCCCCCAGATCTGCCCCCTTTCCACAAGCAAAGCACACCTCCACTTCCAGCCCACTGTGACTACCAGCCTCACCCCAGCCCAGATGCCCCCCTGCTCCATTAGCACCAGCCAGCATTTCTCCAAGACCACCCAGCCCAGTGACAGAGAAACCCCAAGCCATAATTTCACTAACCTGTCCATGCCAGGACAGGTCCAACTCTTTTCCCTGCTGCTGTGAAGCCCTTGTGTGCCAAAAATCCCAAACTAAAAAACAGGATTTTTGCCTTTCCATGTCAGCCACCCAGAAGTTGGATTTGGAGACAACCAGCTAAAAAATTATGCTTAGCCAACATTAAAAAAATACTAGCACTTATAACAGGTATCACCTTTGTGCTTTGCAAGAGTAAAGTACAAACAAATATCACAGTCTCTACATAGAAATTCCCTAACACATAATTATCTCTACAAAAGAGCAAGGGCTTTAGAAACACAGCAAAACTTACACACAGGCACCTGCCCTGCTGTCCTTCACAAGATAATCTCAAATCAGGCTAGGCAGCTTCCTATCACACATCTTCCCACCTCCTCCCAAATCTGGGCAACCTGTGAATCCTGCTTTTGTAGGGTTTTACCCTCCCTTCTGCAACACCTTTACCTGGTGACTCGCTAATTACATCCCAAATGAACAAGCAGGCACAGATAAGATATTTCTATTGGAAGAGAAGACCTTGCAGTTCAATACAGCTTATTTAATTCTCTATGGAAAGCTTTCTCCTACATGTTAGACATTTCTCCACCCTTCTTTCTGTGCTTTTTCAGCTCATGTTTGAGGCAACAGAGGGCAGGTAATGGCTCAGAGATGTTTTGTAATCAAAATGTTATTGTCAAGAGAAAATAGAGCCTGTGCAGTGATTAAAAATAAGTCTTCATTTTGGGGAGCAAGGGGAAACACTCAGCTGCAGGATGACCAAGAACACAGTCCTGAGCAGTTTGGGTCAGGCAGGCTACCCAGCACCCCGTCCCAAGACATGAACAAACTGGGTGACTGGAACAAACTGTACTGGGGCTGGGGCTGCTGGGGGGTTTTGCAGCAGTTGCTATTCATAGGGGCAGGTGCCATACTCTTCTGTCCCAAAATAGAGCAAAACCCCAAACCCACCTAAGAAATCCAGGCTGTTCCTAGGAAACTACAACTTGCAAAATAAAAATCACAAGTTTTCTTCACACAGTCACATCATTTTAGAATATTTTTTTTTCTGCAGGTTGGACTTTGAAAACATTTTATAGCACAGGAACAGCAGAGCAGTGACAGATGAAGGGCAGGAAGGAGAACACCTTGTTTTGAACATCTCGGACAATGAGTTGTGGATCCCCATCCCCAATTTGGTGGCATCAGCACATATTCGTGGAAACTCTCCATGTCAGGGAGCTGTGATGAGAGCAACTCCTGTTGGGAAACACCCACCCGTATCTTTTAGGCAGTCCTAACATGGAGTTACCCATGGCCCTGCCATGGAGGGTTGGAGTTCATGGTGAAGTGATAGTCCAGGTGAGAGCACTTATGGGGTAACCTGGCCTGCAGAAATGCTTTCCCACTCCTGCAGTCCCCCTGCCCTGGAGGAGGGCGAATGCCTCCCAGCCATGCTCTGCTCAGTGAGCTGAGATGACAACCAGGGATGTGAAGGTACCAATGAGGTCTGCAAGGTGTTTTAAGCCAAGAGCTCATGTGTTCAGGAAAATGTTTTGCCAGTAACCTGGCTGTCCTGGCTTCTCCAGCTCTCCTTCAATGCTAAGAGCATAGAAACACTGTAGGTAAACATGAAGCAGAGTTTTCTGGTGGTACAAACACACATGAGTCCATGCGGAGAGCTGGCGAACATGCAAAACACTTTTTCTCTTTTTGCCCATCCTTTCTGCAAGATTCCTCCTTGTTGTAAAGAAGGTTGCCTGGTGTCTGGCCTCCCTTTTTCTTTTGTCATTTTGGCTAGGAGTCATCTCCACTGCCTACAGATGTCTACAAGTTGGTTGTTCACAGCTGAGCTATCCCTCCACAGTTCTGCTGTGCTCGGTGGAGAGCCTCAGCAAGCCCTGCACTGCCACCTCGGGTGGGAGCCAGAGATAGGTGTGTCACCTTCCAGATCCACCAATCTCTGTCTGTTGGCCACGGAGGACCCTCAAGGGCCAGTTTAGTCCCAGACCAGAGAATATTTGATATTGAAAACCCAAGGAACAGAAGCTTCCCCTGTGGTCTCGCTATACCCTACCCAACACCTTGCCAACTTTGGAGATGATTCAAACCCTTCCCTCTCCAAGTCAAGGGGACACCCCACGCAAGAAAAGACCAGGCTTTTTTTTTTTTTTTCCAGAGATTTTTTTTGTCTTTTTAATTTCATCTTGGTACGCTATTTCTGACAGTGTGTCAGCATCTCCTGCCGGGTCAGCCATCTCCAGACCCCGCTACATTCAGTGTCAGATTGTATGGTGGCGATGAGCCAGTGTTTTGAGCCTCACAGTCACTTGCATGTCTTTACGGGTTGTCGCTTACATCATTTGCGAACAGCAGCACAAAAGGACACAACGCATGAAAACAAGAGTGGGGATGAGGTGAGGGTCAGCTGAAGGCTCAACCCCAAGGAGAACTGTCCCCAGGTTCCCACAGCTCCTGCAGGGATGAACCTGAGCACGGGGGGGGGAAATGCAGGGCTCTCCTTCCTTTCTCCTTCGCCCGAGGGGTGGCGATACCGGCTGCAGTGTCTTCCAGAGCCAGGACAGCAGCTCACACTGGTCTAGCACACATATTTGAGGGTACAGGATGGGGTTGCTGGCAGAGGCAGGCTGGGTCCTGCCACAGGAAGGAGAGAGGTGATGCAGAGAAACAGAGCTGAGCCCCGATGGGCTGGGATGTCCACCAGCTCCAGCAGCGTCATCCATCCCACACCAACCTCCTGGACACGTCCAGCGGTGGGGACAGGACCTGGCCACCGTGCTGTCCCCATCAATCTGCTGGTGGAGGAGCAGGTCCCTGGAGCCAGCCCTGCTTTGGATTTCAACTGCACCTCAAAACCAGTGGGGCAACCTGAGAGCACCAAAAATAACCAACCCCGAAACCCAAACCTATCACCTGAAATGAACTGATGTTCCTTCCCTGCCACTGGGCTTTTGCAACCTAAACATAACGTTTATAAAAAGTAAATTATTTCATCTTATAACTTAAGTGCATTGAGTATTTCCTTAAATATGGTTCACGCTGAAAATAAAGTTACTTTTGCTGTACAGTAAATTTCTGATAGACTTAGAAATAAACTTTGTTGATACAATCTGGCAGGTGTGGCTGTGCAGAGCCCCCCCCACAGCCACACAGCCCTGCACACACACACGTGTGTGCCCACACACACACACACACACAGCCCCGTCCTCAGGGATGGGGACGATGTTAGGGGTTTCTAGCTTTCTATATTCACATGGGAACACCTATTTTAAAAGTCCCTGTGTTTAAACAGTGAGCGCTCAAGCTGGTTGAGGGAACAGAGGGAAAACCCCGCAGCAAAATTTTCCCTGTGTTTCCCCAAAGCGTTGTCAACTTTTCAAATTTCAAAGCCCAGCTGGTGCTGTGGGCTCCCCCGGTGAAGATCAGCAGTTTGCTCTTTCCACTGCTTGGACCGAAGGTGGTGCAGAGGGGATATGGCACCGGGATGCTCCTGCTGGAAGGGTTTCCCCCTCCCCCTGCCTTTCCCCCTGCTGAAATGAGAAATTTGGTTCCCCATTTAAAATTTGAAAACCTACCAGCCAGCTGCAAAAACCACTCCTGTCCCTAATCCTAGGCTCCTAAGAGAAACATGAAACTATGCAACCCATAACTTAACTCGCTCCTTGGGAATCCCAAGCTACAACATATTGTTTGACAGCATCCCAGCTGTGTCACTTCCCCCTCCCTCCCAACCCCAGGGGCTCTGCAGCCCCTCCTGGGGCAGCGCAGTGGCTGCCCCGTGCCGGGGACCACACCGCACTCAGGAGGTGAAGTACGAGTTCTGCATGGAGTAGAGGTGGTCGATGGGGTTCCCCACTCGTGCCTGGAGTGGCCCCGCGTCCGCTGTGGCGAGGAAGCAGTCGCCCAGGTTGCTCAGTGAGGTATCATCGCTATCCAAGTCGTGGAAGAGGGGCTCGGCACCTTGGGAAGCAGGGAAGGAGCAGAAGGACTTCAGAGCCTGCTTTCTCCTCTGGCACCTTGACAGTGCCCGATGTCCCCAGCTTTTGCAGCGTAAGGATTTAGGGGTGAGGGGACCGCTGTCTTCCCAGAAATCGCTGCATCCCCCACGCATGCCTCCACCACACAGCCCCCTGCTGTGACCCAGCATCTCTTCGAAGGAGAGAAGGCAAGAGGCAAACTCTGGAGCCTTACCATAGGGGTGCATGTGGTCTCCGGGCATCTGCGGCGGGGTGAGCCCTTGCCGGAAGGGGTCGGAGCCATAAACGCTTTGCTCCATGCCCATCAGCTGCTGGGGCGGGGGCAGAGTAGTGTAGGGGTTCAGCATCCCCTCCAGTCCTGCACTGCCGCTGCCATTCGTCTGGGCTGGAAGATAAGAGCGAGCCATTGGTGCAGTCGGGCTGCTGCTTTCTGGGAGGCCCAGCTCCCTTGGGAAGCCCGGAGAGGGCTGGGAAATAGGGAGACCCTGAGCACAGGGAGAGCTGCATGCGAGGTGGGTACCTGAGCTCAGGCGCTGAGTGTTTTGCTGATCTTGCTGCTGCTGCTGCTGCCTCCTGGCAAGCTTCTTCATCTAGCCGAGAAGAAGGGAAAAAAAAGGGGTGAAATCATCACCCGGTCGGAGCGAGGAGGGAGGGGAGCCCCGGCACCAGCCGCTGGCGGGGGGCTACCCCTCGTACTCACCTTTGCTCGCTGGTTCTGGAACCAGACCTGCACCACGCGGACGCTCAGCCCCGTCTCAGCCGCCAGCGTCTCCCGCACCTTGGAGAGAGGAATGACAGCGGCATCTCAGCCCCCTCAGCTTTTTGGGGGGACTTCAGGAGGGGACAGAGCAGCCGGGGCAAGTCCTTGCCCAGCATCCAGGACATCCCAGGGGGCTGGAGGTGGCTGAGCTTGGGCCGTTCTCCCCATACCTTCCTGCAGGGCTTGGAGGAGACCTCAAACGATGCCTTGAATGCCCTCCGCTGCTGTGTGGTCAGGATCGTCCGGGGTCTCTTGGGCCGTTTGTGATCCTTCCCATCCTCGGCACCCTTCCCCGAGGCTTGGCCCAGTTTGCAGATGCTGTCCTCATCGTCACTTTTGCCTAAGGGGGGAAAAAAAAGCAGGTCCTTTACAGACAATGGGCAGCGCACATCGTTTTCCAGCATGTCCAAAATAATCTGGGGGACTTAAAACAAGCTGCTATTGGTGGGGACCTTCTTGTGAATGTGTGTGAGGGGCTGAGGTTTGGGGCTGGCTGCCCCATGGCAGCTCAGAGAGGGGGAGAGTTGCTGTGGCTCATAGTTTGGGGTCACTCAGCCAGCAGATGTGCTTTTTGGTTCTTCTTTTCCCCAACAGTCTGAGCAGCTGCAATGTGAAACCCTGGGACACCTGATTTTCCCTCCATCGGACCCAAATCCCTGCTTGCTCCACAGGGATTACCTGCCAGGCCACAGCTGGGGACACATCTGGACAGAGACACACAGGTTGCATTCACGCGAGGGCACAGCAGCCATCAAGGACCGCTGTGCCCCTGGGGCATCTGGTCCCTCTGCTCGGACAGCTCAGGCTGGGGGAGATCAGGGCACAGGGTGAGCAGAGATGCTCAGAGAAGGCAATGCATTAGCCTAAACCTCACAAACCCCTCCTGATGTGCCCTGCCACGGAGGTCAACTCCATTTAGAGCACAGAGTTTTAATCACAAATATAAGGGGCACCTTTTCACCTATATTTCCCCCCTTCCATGGAGTTTTAAATCTCCCTGGACAGAAGCCCAGGCTGCTTCAAGCTTCACCCCTCAGGTACTTGCTGCAGTGTGCTGCTCCGTTGTGTTCACAGGCGCTGGTGTGTAACTCCCTGCTGCTCTCTGCCGCTCGGGACCACAGGGCCTTTGGGCAGGAGCTGCTCCAGGAAAGCTGGCAGCGCTGTCCTGCCTCTTACCAGCCCTCCTCATTTACCGCATCGCCACCGTGTCAATGACCTTGCTTGCGTGGGAGGGCTGTAATGCAGGTTTGACAGCACGGGTCCTTCCCTCTCATGAGCGGTAAATCACTTACAGCCTTTTCCAGAAAGCTCCTCCACCATCCGTTTGGGAATCGATAATGGAGCTGAGGTGCTGGTTTGATGCAGATGGAGGTTGCGAGGCTGTGCTTGGCCCGAGTCCCATCCTGGGGCTGCTGTGTCTCTGCGAGATGGGGATGCACCAGGGGGTTGTGAGCCTGGCCCAGACTAATTCATGGCTAAAGCAGGTCAGGTCATACCCCATGGCAAGAGCTAATCTTGGATCATGCAGAGCAGAAAAGCGTAAATCCAACGGCAGCCCAGTTGGGAGATGGGGAAAGATGGGAGCAGATCTCCGGGGCGAGGGGAGGCAATGTTTCCTGTGGAGGAGCAAGGATGCTCTTGGGTACCAGTTACCCCTTCCCTCCGTGCTGCTGGTCTCTCTCCTGGGCTCACCAGCTGATATGGAGACCTTCCCTGTGGCAAGGGCTGGGACGGCTGGGACATGGAGAGATGTCCACGCTGGTGGTCCCCGAAACAGCCCAGAGCTCGGTGCTGGCCCCCAGGAGCCAGCACCTTGCTGCTGCCACTCACCCACAGCACATCCATGGCTTGCCAACAGCAGTGATGGCAACAGGAAAGACAAACTGCTGTTTTCTTGCATGTCCCAGTGCGAGAGACATAGTAATGCAGAAGGTCTGAGAGCTGCAGTGCTGGGGACCCCCAGGGTGTGGAGTCTCTGATGGCTAATGGGGCTGAGCGGCAGCCACCGCTGCCTCCTTCTTAGTGCCAGCACAAGCAGGGTCTCTGCTCCGCCGAGCTGCCTGCTTTCCTGAAACCCCAAGGAGTTTAATTTTGATGGAAGGGTAGAGATTTTTTACAAATATTGGGGGGAGGGATGTCAACCGTTGGAGACATTTCAGTGCCTGAACCTCTTTGCACCCTAACACAAGGTGAGCGCCCCAATCCCCTCCAGTCCAGGAGGGGCAGAGCCCAGCATGGGGGAGCCAGAGGCTCATAGACTCTATCAAGCAAATGATGCTCAAAATCCATGCCAAGGGGGAAAACCCGCTCGGAGCAGCCCCCCTGAGCCCTCCCCCTGCAACACCTGCTCCCCAAATCCCTCCCAGTGTCAAAGGGAAAGAAGGAAAAGCGAAGCCGGATTTGGCGGGGTATTACTTTTAATTAACTCTCCCTTTCAAGCCTTTCCCCACCAAGGAGGGGGGAGAAATTAATGAGTGTCTGGGGCTGCCCCTGACGTCACCTGGGAAGGGGCCGGGGCGATGGATATTGTGCAGCATGCCCTCACTCCGACCCGCCGAGCCCGCATCCTGCCGCTGGGGCCAGGACATTCCTCGCTCAGGAGGATTTAGGGAGAGGAGAAACGTTAGGACGCTTTTAATTGGAAAGTGGGGTCCTCTTTCAGAGGGGCTTGTTTACTTAGGCTGGGCAGCGGAGGCTCGGGGGAAGCAGTAATTGAAGCGAGGGTTTGGGAGATTACAGACAACATATGGCTCGCTTTTTATCTGCACTTTCTCATAAAGTGGCCTTTGGTGCGCGGCGGCCGGGAGGAGGGAGGGCAGGGGGCTTCAAAGCAGTGAGGGGGGACAGAGGAGAGGCTGGACAAGCACATCGCACGCTGCTGGTGAAGGGCATCCAGGACCGGTGTGGGGCACCCAGTGTGGCGGTGGGATCCCCACAGGGGATGCAGCAGGAGGGGGCAAAGCCACGCCATGCTGAGCATCCACGTGGGATGTGCACCTGGGCTGGCCCCCACTGTGCCACCAGAGACACGCAACATTCCAAGACAAACTGTTGGTGGCCACCAAAACCAGGCAGGGACGGTGGTGGGGCTAAGCTGTGGGGTCTGTGGGGAGACGGAAGGGGCCAGGATCCCCCAGGCCAGGGGCTGCCAGGGGATACCGGGGGCTTCGGGTTGGGTTTCCAACCAGCCAAGGGGTTGCCATGCCCTTTTGACCTCCACACTGGCCCTTCGTATCCCTCGGGTTTCAGCTGGAGTTTCCACTGCAATAAGTATTTCCCCTGGAGGTTTTCGCTAGTTGAAGCTCTTGGTTTGGCCGGAGCCCCTGGCAGCAGGGCTGGACCACGGGCCGATGAGTCGCTGGGGAAGAAAAGCTCCCCAACCTTTCCCAAACTGCCCTTTTTCCCCACTAGGAATAAACCCAAACCATTGTGACCAATTCACTTATTTTCCTGCATGACGTCTCCTCATTGGTTCCTATTTTAACTGAAAGAGTTTGCACATCCCAGAAGGAAAAAATAATAATACTTCAATCAATTGAGGACTTTCCCAGGGCTAAGGCAAGATCCAGCGCCAGCGTGCCGGATCCTGCTGCTTTCCTGCCTCTCCAGCTCCTCTGGCGTTGGACCACCACTTGCCGGCTCCCTTCAGCCACCTCCTCCCATGGCCTCACTCTATTTTTTAAATATCATCACCATTATTTGGGGGGAGGATTTTTTCTTTCAAGCGAGCAGGGTTGCAGAGCTTGGACAGAAGCAGCCGCAGGCAGTGCTGCAAAGCAGCCGGGCTCTCGTTGCAGAGGAGCACAATATTAAAGAGAAACACTGGCTTTGGGCAATTTTTGCTCCATCCCCACCGAAACCATCCCTGTCCCCCCACGCACATTCTCCCAGGTGCAGCATCGCCTGCGCCTGGCGGTGAGCACCAGGCTTTGCCGTGTCCGTGACCTGCCCCGCTTCACACCTTAACAACCCCCTCCTAAATGGGCTCGTAATGCTGATTTCTATTTTTTTTTTTAAATCCAGTGCTTTCCTCCAGCTGGGAAAAGACAGGCTCCCCCCAGCTTGCTGGCAGCCCCTTCCAGAGCACTGCATTTCAAAGGTAAATCCTTCCCTCCACAAAGCAGATTTTCCCCCGATGACTGTTTTTAAGAGGAGCCAAGCGACCCAGGCGCACAGCGTGGGACTGTGCAGCCTCGCGAGGAGTGGGGCTCTGTGAGGACGACGTTAACATGAGGATTTCTGCTAGCAGATCAGTTCCACCCCCCGGGCCCCCGTTGCTGGGCTTTCTTACTAAATTTGTCTTCCTGGGAAACATTCAGATTTGATTTGCATTGACTGTAGATACATATTTTAATGCTGATCTGATGCTCTGGGCAACCTAACCCGGCAGTGACACCCTGGCTGGAGCAGGATGCCAGCCCCCTGCTCACCTCCAGCCGTGGTGCCACCTCTCCTGCAGCCCCCCTTGGCGACACCATGCTGGGTCTGCAGTCTGGCTCCAGCCATCCACTGCCTGGGAAGCCGCTGGGGACACATTTGCCGGTTCCCTGCCGCCAGCTCATGTTTTAGCTCTGTGCCTCAGTTTCCCATCAGTATTAAAAAAGTTGGCTACAGAAGCAGCAGCTCACTTCTTGCACTCAGCCTTTCCAGAGTCCCAGGTGGGGACAATGAGGCACAGGGGAGGGACACACATTTGCAGGTTCCCTGCCGCCAGCTCATGTTTTAGCTCTGTGCCTCAGTTTCCCATCAGTATTAAAAAAGTTGGCTACAGAAGCAGCAGCTCACTTCTTGCACTCAGCCTTTCCAGAGTCCCAGGTGGGGACAATGAGGCACAGGGGAGGGACACAGAAGGTTTAGCCCAGGGTAGTCAGTGGGATGCTTGGGACCGTGATTTTTTTTTTTAGGAAGAAAACTCTCATTTACAGTGTATTTATACCAGGGGCAGCTCCTCTGTTTCCCTGGGCAAGGAAGTGGGAGATGTCACCTTCAGCCAGCATGGCTCTCTCCCCACACCCGGGGATGCTGTACGCCCCTCGGGATGGGCTGCTGGTGCCCTGCACAGGCCAGGAGCACAAACTCTTACAGAAATGAGCCTAATGAGATGGGATGGTCCCCAGAGCATCCTCCAGCCCTGCATCCCCTCCGCTGCCAAGGTCCCTGCTCATGCCCTTGCCACTGGGGTGGGAGAGACTCTGGCTGGAGCATGCAACTGTGCTTATAGAGCTTTTCCCTTCAGACCATGGGGCAGAGGTTTAAGGCAGCAAGCCTAAACCTCGCCTCCAGACCCCACCACACTCGCAGGGACCTCGAAGCAGGACCAGCCAGGGAGACGCCGGGCGCGGGCGGCCCCTTACCAGAATCCGACAGAGCCGGGCTCACCAAGCTCAGCAGCTCCCGCTCCTTCTCGTAGTCGCCCTTACAGAGGAGCTGCCCCTCCTTCAGCACAAACTCGTCACCCTTCTGCAGGCGCCGCTCACAGACACAGCAGCAGAAGCAGTGCAGGTGGTAGACACTCTTCTGGGCGCGCATCACCAGCTCGCTGGGCGTGATGGCCTCCAGGCACCCAGCGCACTTCACCACGAAGAGCCTGGGGGAGCAAGAGGAGATCCCGCTGGGACGCCCGGCAGCACTGCGGCTGCAGCCGGCGGGTGGCGTGGCGTTGGGGACAAGGGATGGGGCACCCGTGGTGGGGAGACAGGCATCTGCACAGGATCACTGTGTCACTCCATTAGTGCTTTGATTGCTTTGAGGGGCTGGCCACAATGGTGCTGGCACCCTGCAGTGACACGGCATGCGCTGCAAGCTTGCCCTGTGCCAACGGGGGATGCTGCCTTTGGGTCAACTTTAGCATTTTTGGTTGACCTGTTACCAGCTGCTTACTATGAATGCAGTCAAAGGATGAAAACCCCAATGTCCAGATGCTCCAGATGAAAAGCAAACAGGCGTCAAACCCAACAGTCCAGCTACCACCACCACAAGACATGGGACACGCCACATCTACATGGGTTTTATCAAGCCAACCCTACATGTCCACCTGCCTTCAGCTCATGCCTAGATGTAAGAAGATGCTGGAGATGGCAATGGGGCCAGCAAGCTCATCCGTGCCTCTCAACAAGCACCTGCAGAAAGCATCTGTGCTGTCGGTCACCCATAAACCACGCCATCCCTCTGGCCTGGGTCACTGGAACAGCCCCGTTCCTGCTTGCAAACACATCAGGAATGTCTAATATGTCATAAAAATCTCCATGGCAGCAAGTTTTGGGTTAAGGCCAGTGACAGACTGAAGACTTGATTTGTCAAAAGGAAATGAAAAAGCTCAGCTTGTTCCTTGACATTGATGTGACAGTGTTTGAGGCATCCCTAATTGTACAGTTCCCAGGTTTCAACACATCGGCTTTATACTTAAAAGCCAATAATAATAACAACAGCAATAACACTTTAGGTTGAAACAGAGCTTTTCTTTCTCTGACTTTAAATGTCCTTACTGAGAAGCTCAGTAGCATGATCAATAATTTCCAGTCGGGGAAACTGAGGCGAGCAGACCGGAGGTGGCAGCATCAGTGTTGGCTTGAGAGGACTTGGAGGCATCTGGAGCTAAACCCTGGGCTGGATGTTTTAAGTGAATGGGATGTTTCCCCCAGTAGAGATGTTTGAAGGTACCAAACCAGAACCTCTTCGCCACCCCCAGATATCTGTGTTTTTGGCTTGGGCCCCAGAAAGAAAAAAAATCACTGTTTACCCAGCCTTGTCCTAAATATCTGTGGGAACTGGACATGATTATTCCCTTGTCTTGATGACTTTGGCCCAGAAAGAGAAGTCAGAAGTCAACACACATCCTGCAGAGGTTATCTCCGAGCATCACCCATGTCCCAGCCCGGGGATGCCCCAGGGACCTGCATGGGGAGCGCTGCATCCAGCCTTCCACTGGCCCCAGATAGCTCCCACCTCTGTAGTCCCCATCCCATGTGTCATCCCCGGGGGAGACCTGCAGGGCCAGGGGGCTGCAGGGCTGGGGACGGCTGGCTGGAGAGGGGAAGGGCAGCCCTGCAGCCACCAGCGGGCTTTCAATCCTTTCTCTTTTTTTGGCTGTTACAAAAAACCACATAGGAAATGGAAAGTGCTGAGTCAGCCCCATTCCAACAAGGAGAGGACCAGATGTGTGCAAAACCCTCACAGCAAAACCATCAGAAAATGGGGATAATTTAAAAAAGTTTTTGTGATGAGCTCAATAGCCCATAAAACAAGGAGATGGGGGGCAGAGCAAGGCACGCGCGTGTCTCTGTGCCCCAGAGGTAGCTCCCAAGGCGAAGGCACCCATAACACCAGAGATGCTGCTGAACAAAAGCTCCCCAGCAGCAAAGGGGCATGCATCTTGCTGCAGCCCATGCGCAGCCTCTGCTCCCGTGAAATCCCAGCCAGGCTTCATTTTACCTTTTCATTTCACCGCTTTAGTTGCCCAATAGCCGACAAACAAGACGGTCAGCTGTGCAAACCGCCGGAGGGGAGCAGGCAGGCTCCACTGCGCAGGCAGCGAGCCCGGGAGAGTCAGCAGCAGCTGGTCGCATCTGTGCCTGTCTCATCAGAGATCAGCGCTTGCCTGCGTGGAGCCAGCCAGCCTGGGCAAGGCAGCACATCCCGCTGGCGTGAGGAGGGCAGATACATGCAGGAGCAGAGGATAACGCCTGCCTCCCCGCCCGACGGGCAGGGGAGGCCGCAGAGCGTCACCTCCCGGTGCCCCGTGCCGCGTCTGGTGAGCGCTGAGCTCCGGAGGCAAACAGCTGCCTGCCAGATGTGGGCACAGCTGGCGGGGTGCCACGGCACACTGCCACCCGCCAGCGGTGCCTGCCAGCCTTTGGGGATGGGTGTCGAGGGCTCAAAGGGCTGGGAATGGGGCCCCCAAATGTACCCCATTTTATTGGCGTCAGCTCCCTCCCGCCTTGGGGTCCTCTGGCAGACGCTTCATGCCGGTGTGTGGGCTATGCCCACTCACTCCCAGGTCTCCCCAAAACAGCAGCAGCGAGCACGGGGATGGGGTGCATGGCTCTCCCCGTGCCAGCCAAATCCTCAGTGCACTCAGCAAATTGTAGCGTCCCCCAAGAAGTAGGAAAGGGATGTTAGAAAGTTTTTATAAAACACTACTGTTGCTACAGAAAGTAGAAAATCATCAAATAAAAGGTGGAGATTAAGGAGTTTATAATTCCAAATAATGCCATTAGTAACATTTATTTTTGTTCATTCAATCTTAATTTCCCAGTTTTACATACAACTGTCTTTCTTTAAGGTATATATATTTTTAATGTCCCTTTGACTACCCTGTGAGGAGAGGGGTGTGTATTCCCTTGAAAACATCCCTTCTGAAGGGTCATTTTTTTCTTGTTCCAGCTCTGAGAAACACAGGCTTGTGTTAATACTTTATATTTCTGTAGTCATTTTTGTCTTTAATTATGTATCTTTTATGTCAAAGTGGAGGCGATTTGTATTCATCTGGTAACGCATTCTCATCCTGTTTAAATGAAGTTTAAGCCCTACCTGTTGGGATTACTAACTGCTCTCAGTAATAAAATACTGATAAGCTATTATGTTACTGCTATCTAATCTTCACGAATGAATGTGCCCAAAATCTCTATTTCCAGGACGCTGATCAGAAAGCCATAAACCTTTGCCAATTAGGCACAGCAGCACCAACTGAGCGATGGGTGTTTCTAAGCCCAAAGCGTGTTGCAAAACAGGAAGGTGTGAGATTTACATTTAGGTAAATGGTTGCCTAATATTAGACATTAAAGCCGTACTTAGGTCGCTGAATAAACGACTTAACTTTCAAACTGCTGAGTCCCCAACAGCTCCCACTGAGGGATGCCGGAGGGACGGGGTGTCTTTCACTGCCCAGTGCAGGACTCCCCCACCCCTGGGCAACATGAGATGCAGAGAAATCCCCATAAAACCTTCTCCACAGCATGAAACCGTAAAGAGCTCCTTATAACCCCACAATAAACCCAGATCTTAGGCACTAAAAGGTCAAGGGCATAAAAACTGCAACCTACCACAGGTATTAATGCGGAGAGAGCAAAGGGCATTGCTGGTGTCCCAGGTCCTTACAGCCCTGGGCCAGCCCTGGACAGTACCCTGGTCCTCTACGGGGACTGGGGAGGAAGAGTGTGCACAGATAACCCCACACATGGATAATCCCATGCATGGATCCCACTTGGGAAAAACCCCACATAGGGGTAGCCCCACATAAGATAACTCCAGCATGGATAACCCCTGCAGGGATAGCCCCACTGAAACACTCCTGGTCAGCCTTGAGATGGGGCGGAAGGAAAATTTTCTTCCAGCCCCAGATCTAGCAATTAATTTAATATTTATGCCTGAGCAAGACGCACCAGCCTGGATCCAGAGATGTTTTCCTCCATCTCAGGGATCTGCAGCTCTGCTCCCAGCTCCCTCCTGCTGCAAGCAGCAGGCTGCAGAGCAAATACCATCTTTTCTGCCCTCTCTACCTCTTTGTGCCTCCCTGCAGCTGCAAAGGGGACTTTGAGATTACATTTCTCTACAGGAGGCTGCACAGAAGAGGAGAAAAAGGACTGGCTCTGCCCTGTGACAACAGGTTTTAAACCAAGAACAAATTAGCCACCCCTAAATTGCAACGGGACTGCCTTCATTTCTGCCATCCTAGGGATGCTGCAGGCTTTAGTTCTTAGTAGATTTTTTTTTTTTCCTTTATAGCATGGGATTCAAAGGCTAAATCAGGCCTGGCTGGCCACCTTTGGGTTTGTTTAACCATGTACGAAGCTGGTAGGTGCAGGGACAGAGTGACCCGCTCAGCACTGCAATGCTCGGCAGAAACCCAGCCTGCCACAGGCAGCTCAGTAAAAGCTTCAACAAAGCATTGACAGTGAATATTTGTAAATAAAAACAAACCCACTCAAGTTAGGAAGAATTGGAACAAAAATATGGTGATGCAAGCAATTTTCATCACAACACACGACTTTTTGTTGCTGATCTTAAAAACCTTCCTTTTCCTGTATTGATTAATCTGCTTTTTTTTTTTAATTTGGGTCCCTTTTGAAATGACAATCTGCAGTTTTGAAACAGAAAGGTGGTGGTGGGTTTCAAGAAAAACGCTGAAACAAAATAATTTGCCATTTCCGAAAACGCAAAATTTCTGCTGGAAGACCCCCAAGTGAGCTAGCCGGCGTTACAGACATCCCCCCTTTCCCCAGGGCACAACCCCAAATCTCTGTGCAATTCCTCTTCCTTGAGAAAGCCATCCCAGACGTCTGCTTTGGGGTTTCCATCTGCCCAGCATCACTGAAACCTAGAAATTTCGACACGTGGCTGAAGCCACCTCTGGGGCGGCACATCCCGTCCCCGGGACACCGATGGAGGGGGAGCGACATGGGCAGCCCCGGTTTCCCATCAGAGTCGCCACCCCCTCTTTCTCCCTTTATTTTGAGGTGACAGGCTGAAAGGAGCCGTGATTGACGGGCGCTTCCCGGCTGCTGTCTGTCTGCGTGCGCCGCATACAAACG